TAGTCATTACATTCATTTTTAGTCATCTGAAATGACAGGTACCCGTTTTGGAATAATTTGCCTGTGCAACCTTTTGAAAAAAGCCCACAAATCATTCAGGGTGTCTGACAAACTTAATATTATATTTACAGACTTTAAAACACAAATGCTACTGATTCGAATACTCATTTGTTGTATTTGTAATGCCTCATAGTATTTAAACCTCTTAAGGTACAATACATTGCGGGACCTGTAAAACTAAAAAAATAACACTATCCTTCATTTATGCTTCACTACATAATTTTTATCCGTACAGAAGGTATTTCAGAATTTCAAATGCAATGGTTTACAATAATATTCTGTATCACATCCAGATGGCAGTATTTAATGGAACTAGTCAATTTAGAGGGATGGGTGCAATCAAGGGGAGATACAGGCCCTTTCAAGATGGAAGAAGGACAAATTGTTTAAATTAGAGCTTAGACGCAGCTTAACATACAACATTCAAATCCTTACTTTCTAGGTTAAATCGTCCTAATTTGATGTATGTTTTTGACATACTATCCAACAGTTTTGGGAAAATCTCTTCATTGCTGGACTACATCCCAAAACCATGTGCTCAAGCAGGAATAGATGTTGTAGAGGATGTTGAGCTCTTGTCTTCTCAAAATTTCAAGCTTAATTGACCCCTATATCATACCCATGAAAATAATCAGACCCAATGAACAGAAAAATCTGTAATGCATAATAATTAAAGTATCCTGGCTGTTATAAAATGTTAGTGCCTGCAGCTCTACTGTTTTATCTAACGGCACTTTATCAGGAGAATGAAAATCTGTGTGCTCATCGAAATTATCAATCAACATTAAGGGATAACAGCAAGGCATACTGGCAAAAGATGGCACAACATCACTGCAGTGCCTTGAAGTTATGTGCGATATGTAGTTTATGTATGCCATCAGCCACAGGGAATTCATGGGGCTACTTTAGAGGATAGGAATACTCAGCTGTTTCAGTTGAGGTGCAGCTGCAAATATAGAATACAAAAACGGGCTCACTGAAAAACCAGCTTTCCAAAATGCCTAATCCTCATTACTGACATTGTCTGGTTCACTACTGAACACAGTATGACCCCATTCAAAAAACGTACATAAATTAGCCTAATTCTAATTTCCTTTTTCTTGTGGAAACAACATAACAGAAAAATATCTTCCTAATTGTATAAAACTAAATCATAAAACGAAAGATGCAAATCTAGCAAGGAACATTACAGGTACAGAAAAGTGTTTCATAGTGTTTCTTTTCCTATAAATACATATTTGATATGTATCTGTTCACCTGTTTTTCCCCTTTAGCCTCTTTCTGCTGAGCCCTGATGCTGACCGATACAGCACAAGAGAGCATTCAAAAAGCTTTCATAGAGAAAATGTGAGAAGTGATGGGGGAGTGTATTGGAGTTATACAAAACAGTTTTTGGCAACCAGCACAGTGCAATGCTGTTCTGTCTCTCATACATCCTCTCTTGTAATCGGTTTTGGAAATTCTTTCCAGGAAACATTTTTGCAAGAAATGAGTTAGAAGTATATATAAAGATTTAAGGATAGAATTGTTCTTAAATCAAATCAGAGCAAAATTAATTTAAAACAACTGATAACAGAAATTTTCAGAAGGTATAAACACCTATTGTAACTCACCAGACAAATATGGCAAATTAAATAAACCTTTTAAAAAATGCAATTCTATCATTCTCATTTGTTCCTATATCCTGGGGTCTTAGGATAATGAACATTATTTGAATTCCTTAAAAATGAAACTCTGCCAATTCCTTGTTGTTGAACAGTAAAAGTGAATACTAAGCTTTGCTTGCCATTTGTTAAAACAAAAAACAAACAGAATTAATGCTCTTCCTGTTCCAGGTGACGACGATTGTCCCGAGAAAGTAAAAGATTTCCATTTAGTCACAATAGACGAAAACACCTACTGCAGTCTTTGACAGGCCACACCTGTTCAAAATGTGGAACACAAAGAAGGCAAGGTGAAAAGAAGCACCCTTTTCATTGGCCGAGAAGGTTAGAGCAAACAGCACATGTTCAACTACTCTGTACAAGCATTCCTCTGATCCGTTCAAGCTCAGCTACTCCTACTTCCCCGCTACTATGATGGCATATGACGTAGCCATACAACCAAACAGATGCCAATGTAGCAATTGCTGCCTCAAGTGATTAGTAACTGTATGAATGTAGGGAGTTATGCAGATAGGGAGTTGCCTGTATTGGGCAATATTACAGTGCTGTTCTCGCATACCTTCTGACTTCCCATCTGGCCTCCTTAAATATATTATAAACTGATGGTTATAAAGGGCATTCCAGGCATATCTATCTTGTTAATTGTTCCACAATAATGTGATTAGCCTATATATATATACAGTATGTTAAACATTAACATACACAGAAAACCAACAGTGTCTCAGCCAACAGGTCATGTTATCCTGTGTAGTCTACTTGCACTCTTAATTTCAGAACCTTATTTGCAGCTTTTCTGCTGAAAAGCAATTCTGGTGAAAGTACATCAGAGTATTATTAAAGAAAAAACTACCCTGAATGTACACAGACAACAAATTGTAGGCAAGCTAACAAACACACAGCAAGATAATCAGCACAAAACTCACAACTGGTCAGTAAAACGAGGTCAAAGAGATTGCAATAGTAAAAGGAAGTGAGTTGTATTCCATAATATATTGTACTGAGTTTTTAGTAAGAAGAAGCTCTAGTACAGACCTAGGTTTTTTTAACCTGTGTACAATAGCAAAGTTTGTGTCTATATCTGCCTGCCTCCTAATAACATATTGAACTAAAACTGCAAATTTGCTCTGACAAGGGAGGAATGCCCCTGGGCCCTCATCTTCTCAAGGCATACAGGTCCTTCCTTTCAGCACCACCAATTACAGGGAGGCATTTGACATTTCCACTTTCCATGAGAAATGTTATATTCCTAACCGTCTCTCGCATCACAAATATTGAGCTTTGTTCATTAAACGCCGTCAAGCGGTTGGGTTTTAAAGCATGTTATCGCTCCTCAAGCTAGAAAACTTCACAAGAGAAATGTACCCCCTTTATTGATAACTGCATGAAGCATTCCTGTGATTCTCAAAAGTGTAGCCTTCATCAATTAATCATAATCATGATTTCCGAAGTATATTTCTGTTTCATAAAAACTTTCATATAGATAAGCTAAAACATGTGGTGGACATAGGTCTTGTTTGTTGTGATGCACAATATCACCAGCGCTGAAGACAAGCTCCCAGTGATTAAGTGCACTTCAACATTAAGGCTTATATCTCATCATTTAGGGCTGATTCTTCAATGAGCAAGAACAAAGATGCATGTGACAAGAAGCAACCTTGCTTAAAGGTTTTTGGACTGATATGACTAGGGACAGGGTCTCATCACTAGTCCTGCAGTTTCATTTTTGGTTTTCATTCCAACCAAGCTCCAGATGACTTAACTGGATCAACCATTGCTTTATCAAGAGGAAGTCAGCATGGTTTTCAGATCTCTGTTCATTGACCAGACCAGGTTACATACAGTATAAATCCTGTAGGGTTGTGGATTTCCAGGACCAGGGGGTTGCAAGTCACAGAATTCTCTCTTAACCTAGAAAGAAAATCTAAGAACAGAGAACTGGGGACTTTCAAAGACCAGTACATAATTACTGAAACAAAATGTAATTTTAATGCTAAAACTGTCATGTTAAAAACACTGTCACTCTGTGTTAGTTTAGATTTTTGTGGCTGAATTCCAAATAAGCACCTACACTGACATATATAATCCGTTCTATACCTTGATTAGGAATGAATTAAGTTGTTTACCAATACATACAGTTAGTGAGCCTGATGTTAATGCAGCTGTATCCGTTTTAGGGAATGATTCTTCAGAATACACCTTAACTCTACAATTACTGCAGTATCCAGTATACAGATAAGTACAAACTGCAAATTAGTATTCCAGAAAAATTAAGCACATGCTGTTCAGGAATAAAACCTCTGAGGGAATTAAAAAAAAACAGGAAAGAATTAGACGTGTTCACAGAGCTCAAACCAATACCATGAGAGTCTTCGTCAATTAATATATTTAACAGTATTTTATTGATTTGGGCCTTTTTTTTACCATGGGCTTCTTCGTTTTTATATCTTTCTTTTTTTGGGACAGGTTTTCAAGATGCTGTAAAACAATGGTGGTTTGAACGCCAAGTAAATTACCGGAACTTAAAAAGTACCAAAATGATATAGCGTTTTAAAATAAATAGCCAAGTTCTTTCTTTATTTTTTTATTGCTTGAAGCAAGCTGGCTAAAAAGACGTCAGAATTTATCACCGCAAGTTACTCCTAAAACCCATCCATCAGTCGATGCCGATATGCCACTCAGGCTCAGATCTATCTAAAACGGCTGAAAGAAGCAAATCCAATAATCTCACAAAATGAACACGGTTAGAAAATCAAACCCTGACACGAGGTTTGCGTCCCAGACTCTTCCTGTATTCTAATAGAATTCCCTGCAGTGACGAAAAAGACCTGAAAGTCCTGTTGGTGGATAAGAATCAATCCACTGTAAGGAAACTAACATGTTCCTTTTGTAGCAATCGTGTTACAAAAGAGAAACAACAGCATTCTAGCGTGACATACAAGAACGTTTGTTAGCGTTATAAATGCAGGATCAATGCTTGGCTACGCGGTCTTAATTTGAGCTATTGCAAAAGCACATAACTTGCTCTGACGCTTTTCACTATGTAGAAAAGCAGTCTTGGTTGAATTTCAGTAGCTTGTATCGACGGTTTTTATTAGCTCACACCTCTTAAGTTTATAGTTTAAAGTTGGTCATGTGGTTAACTATTTAAAAAAAAATAAAGATCAGTATCACTGTCGTGCTAAACAATACTTTTCTTATGCAGAGCCCCGTGTTTCTTTTGAAACTATTTTTCTACGTTAACAACGTTGTCTCTCTTACGGTTCTAAGCCCCCTTACCTTCTCTTGTTTGTTTTCCTGCTCTGCTGGAGGTGACGTGGGTGATTTCACATTCACAGCACAAACAGTAGGGGCCGAAGTGCTGCCACTGCCTGGACTTGGGGTGCTCTTCTCGACTGTTTCCACCTTGATGAGCCGGTGCTTGGGGGAGACGTATTTGATGTCTGGCGACCCAGAAGAGCTCAGGCCCCCTGGGAACGAACTCCCTCCGCTGCCTGTGTATGGGTCCTCGAAGTCTAGTTCCTTCTGTAGCTTGTAGGCTGCGAGAATGTCTGGTTGTGCGGGGCTCAGGTAATGTGTAGCCCCAGCGCTTGGCTGCTGCTGGTGATGGTAACCGGGTGTACCGGGCGCAGCCGGGTGACAGTGCCTGTAGTCCGGTTTCGGGGGAGCCGGAGGGGGCGCTTTGGTGGTTTTGAATCCTAGGTGCTCCTTGAACCATCTGGCCATGCTGCCAGCGCATTGCTCACAAGTCTGGTTGATTTGTTTCTTTTTTGTTTTTTGCTCCACTTTTCTTTCCAAGTTTCTTCTTTGTAGCGTGTACCTGCGTCCTGGACTCCTCCTAAATTGTTGCTTATCTCAGCAGTTCAAATTCGGTCCTTGTTCCACTAAGCAGAAGTGCGCAGAACCGATACACTCTGCGTTCTCCTGCCACTCACACACGCACTGATAGCCGGATCACAGAAAGCTGGAGCTCCGCTAAGCAATATGGGAACAAACAGGCAGCTAATGGGATAGTCAGCCTCCCCTTTTAACTACCTGAGAATAACCACTGCCATCTGCTGGTCAGAACCGTTTTTTTTATAAAGAAATAATTTACTTTTTTAAAGCACATCAAGCCATTGTGGATCACAATACATTTATAGCGAAAATGATTTCAAATATATCGTATTATAATGGTAAATGAAGGCTTATTGAACTTAAATAAGATTGTTCTCTTAATATGAATCAATACGTACATGTCTGTAGATGGTAAGATTACGGACAGAGCAGACTGATTATATGATTATTTTTAACAGGGGATAAAAATATTAAAAGGAAAAAGTTGATAAAAAATGTTCACAAGGGACCTTTTAATGAGCTAAGACTTACTAAGGCCCACTGACTACCTTAAGCAATATATCCAGAATAAAAATAATTGCTCAGGTGTTGTAAAGTCTTTGTGAGTAAACTAGCGACTTGAAATTGTGTGACGGAAACACGACTGTCTTCCCCCAAGTTTTTCGTCTACAGACCTCCCAACTTATAAAATCACAACGACATATGGGGTCGGAGCTGTTCATTTACAACTGTCTGTGTTTAACTGGTGCACCTAGACATAGCCATTGAGCGAAGTGCTGCCCTTAGCCATGTAGAGAATTTCTAAAGCTGCCTGGACATGACAGGCAAAACGCCGCCGCATTCTTCAGAAGAAGGTGCATAACGTCTTAAATGAGATAGAAGAGGACAGGGGCAAAACGTTCAGGTGGGTAGCGGCGTCAGCATGCGTAGTCTGCAAAGGAACAAGTAATAGGTTTATTTCATGCTGAAAAGAGAAGAGAGAAAACACAACGTTTCGGCTGTGAAGCCTTCTTCTCTGAACTCTGAATAGCTCGCACATGAAGAAGGCTTCACAGCCGAAATGTTGTGTTTTTCCCTATTCTCTTTTCAGCCAAGAGCAAAACATGTTACTTTCAAAGGAGTCGCCTAGATTAAAACGGTGTACATCAGTGTCTCGACATAACTGACTGCCTTATGTTTTCACTTTTAGATTATTCTGTAAAAATAGAATTGAAGGTGTAAAATAAAGCAAGAGTGTATTTTTAGAACGGGTCTCTTGGTTTCACTTTTGTTAACCGTCATATATGAGAGAAAAAAGTCTGGACTGTCGAAAGGATTTCAAAAGTGTCCAAAAACAGCTAAACTCTGAATAACCCTTTGACAGACCCTGTGACAGACCAAAAGTAGCAGTACTGTGTCAGCATTTAAAAAAACACCTAAAACTGCAGTGTACATACTGTATATATGTCATAAACTGAGAATTGTAGATGGAAGCTTTGATTACAATACACATGGTTTTTGCGTGACAGTAAGAACTACAGAGTGCTTCCTGAGTGAAGCTGTAGAAATGAGGAATTATTTTATTTTATAATGCCCAATTGTGGCTGATCTGATCATCGGCATTGCAAATTACTTGTGGAGAGATAAGTTACAGCAATTAGTCAGGTCTGGGCTCTGCTACCAAGTGAATTTCTCTCTACCTGCCATTCTAACATGAAAATGAACTAATCTTCTGAAAGCAGGGTTCCTCAGATTGCGTAAAGGGTTTGACCGAAAGCTTTTTTTTTTGTTTCCACATTCTCTTAATACCAGTCTTTTTGCCATGACTGATGTCACTTAAAAGTAGACATTTGAATTTGAGCCGTTACCATAATCGATCAGGGTAGATTAAAATTAATCTCAATAAAAAAAAGCTCACATAAAGTAAAGATAAAGTGACACAGTGAAATATGTCAAAGCCACGCTATTATATTAGAAGACAAATGTATGTACAACACAGAAATTCAAGTAGTCCATTAAGGGGTAAAAATATGCTTGCAATGATGAAATGTACCATTCTATGAGTCAGTGTAAAGTAAATTTCATGAGTGGGTATAAAGTGCAGAAACTCTTAGTTGCTTGCTGTGTATTGTATGTGTCATGACCTACTTTGATTCTACTCATGATTCTACTTTTGAACTGAGTAAGATCATGTGAGGCTAGTGACTGAACACATTATAGTTTAAAATTAAATAAAATAAAGATTATGAATATTAAAACAGCCTCAAAAACTTTCAAAGGCTGAATAAGATCAAGACAAATATTTCCTCAGTGGCTTTTACAGTAATTACCCTAGGTAGGAGTAACATTATCAGTAAAACCTACGGCAAAAGTGGAAATAATCATGTCCAACTTCTCATGAAGAGGTAAGTAATCAATTTTCAATGCATTTTATGTTTTCCTTATAGTGAGAAAAATGGTCATGTCCCATTACTCAACCATGTAAAATGTTGTATCTGATTAGAATGGAGACTATAGGAAATGCTTTTCTGTTACCTAATAAAAAAACAATGCATGACACCAAAAAATGTCAAAACAACGTGTTATGTGACAAAGCTGTGAACTCCCCTGGAATGCTTCCACTATACAATATATTCACTTTATTCATAGCTTGCAGTCTTTGCAGTGATAAGGGCTGATCTCCCTTAAGATTATGTGCATGGCAGGGCAAAGGGACTCTGTCACACTTGTTCACAGTGTCGCTTCTATAAGGTTCAACCATGAGACATTCTTATCTGTTTGCAGTAGTTAACTCTGTGTGCTCCAGCCCAATTGCCAAATATATACCTGGCTTTGATTCTTACTTCCACTCACATTGTAAAAATTGGGAAAGAGTACAGTAATTGATGTGTATTTTCCAGATGTTCAATTTCTTTTTTTCCTTTCCTAGTATTTCCTAGTGTGTATGTTATGTTATGTTTCTTCTTAGATGTTTCAATATGGTAAATTACTCTTTGAAAACCATGAAATGAAATGGCAAAGATATGTCAGTAAAACCCTAGCTTTTTTTCTGTATTCCTTTATATCATCTTGGAACATACAGTAGATGGTCTTACAGTTCATTTTATCTTTAGTCCTCCCATCATATTTGTAATGTTAGCATGCAATCAGTGTTGATTTGCCTGAATACAAAGGCGATGATATAATATGTATACAATTCCAAAGCATTATAAAATCAGAACTATACAGAATATTAATAGAAATATTACATTCATATTTGCATACATTTTGTCTTAATTTCAGACAAACAAAGCACAGTTCCATGATGTAAGAGATAGAAAATAATGCTGTAAAATCCTTGGTAGTCAGGAGGAAATAGTAGATAACTATAAAAAGGCTATACCTTTCTACACTCGAAGGCCACTGACACACAATGCAAGGACCTTGAATGTATGCAGGAAACCCTAATTGATTTTGCAATGTTTGGCAGCTATTATAGCAAAGTCATTTTTCCACATAAAAATAAGTAGCAGCTCCTGTCTATAATGGAGAAGCACAATAGCCAGAGTTGAAGTACAGTAGCTTTTATGATTCAATATTTCTTTTTAATAATGACTCGCTTCCAGTTAAGGAATGCACTGCTCCAGGGATTTAACCCTGAAAAGCCCTAACTGATACTATTGTTTTTTTTTACATTGAAGGCATTTGTCTGAAAAACAAAAGAAAATATTAAACTATAAATCAATGGCCAGCTAATCAGTAAGAATTAATTCAAAACTGCTGACATTATTTTTAATGTTGTCACACCCTCTTCGTTTGTCACAGCCAAAACGTTGTGTTTCTCTTCTTCTGTTTTCAGCATGGAATAATCCTTTACTTATTTCTTTGCAGCCTATGCATGCTGATGCAGCTACCTACTTGAAATACTATAGATTTGTATGCCTTACAGAACTGTGTTAGCTGATAAAAACATTTCTTTTCCACTATGGCAAATTAGTGGCCTTGCATGATAAATGTGGCTGTCCAAAGCAGAGCATGGAGAGGGCAATTGTTATCAATCTCATCGCATACAAAGCTAGATAGTTTTACCGTCTCTGACTCATGACTAACACTCAGGTTTTGCATTGCAAATCAGATGTTCTCTTTTAAACAAATCTACACAAAATACTGTAAAATAAGTGTACCTACAGGTGGTAAAAATAAATCTCCCTCTAAAGAGGCTCTTAAGCCCACAGTTTAAGAAACAGACTACAGACTGGATCAGTCATAAAAAGTAATAGCTTTAGTTTTTGTTGTGATATGCATCGCCATTGCCTTCAGCTTGCTGACTATATATGAAGTTTGGAAATGTCTGTGAGCTATAGCTTACATTGAATATATACACTATAAAGTTATTTGCATGCTGGCAGACCAGACATAAAAAAACTTTATAGACCAGTTGCTCAGTATTCGCTATCTGACTTCAAATTACCAAAATATGTTGATTTAGATAAATATGTTGATGTATTTGCATGAAAATAATCTGCATGCTTAGACTCTATTGAGGGTAAAATGTTGAGACATTAAATCACCATTTTCTTTTATCTAGACAACATCTGCGGTTGATGGAGAGTTTTATTCACCATTGAACGAGGTTGTGTCCTTAAGGACCTAACCGAAGATGTAAAAATACAAGAAAAGTTACAAATGAGAAGAGGCCATTTAGCTCATCTTGTCCACTTCGTAGTTAATACCTAATTGATCCAAGAATCTCATCCAGGCATTTCTTGAAAGAAGCTACAGTAGCTTATCGACTTCAGTAACATGGCTCAGCACCTTATTCCTTATTTTTGGTTTTAAATGTACTTCTTGGTAGTGTCCACGTGTATCCTCTGGGCTCACTCGGATCTTTGTATCAGATTTCTTGTCTGTTCAGCTCAGCCTGTCCATGTAAAACATTTGTTTATGCTCCAGAACAATGGTTGCTCTTCTCTGGACTGCTATCATAGCAGCAAAAAGTTTTCTGTCATATGGTGACCAAAACTGTACAAAATAATATACAAGAGATCTTACTAGTGTATTGTACCAAAATCTAATTTATCAAAATCTCTTTGAAGTTCTTTTGATGCTTCTATGTTGTTTTCCAGCCCTCCTAATGTAGTATCATCTGCAATTTTGACTAGTTGAGTATAGCTGACTAT